CAGATTTGCTTGTCCAACTTCAAACGGCGATATCCGGATCAAACGAGAACTTTATGACTCGTGTGATAGCTTCCTAGAAATTTAATTAAGTCTAGAATGACATATTAAAAGATGAGAGGCTTTTAGAATGCGGATTGTCCGTAGAAAATAAAAGATCGAAGCATGTTCGGATAGGTAGAAAACGTAAAAGTGAGATTTTAGCTAAGTGGGTTTATGGGAACCCCTTAGTGACTTGAGAGAGGTAATATATGATATAAAAGTAGTTTAAATAATTATTCCACAAAGATTTTACAGTTATGATCACAACTAATATTTATTACGCTTTTTATTGTTTTAAATGCTCGCGTAATAAACAAAAAAAGTTTACTCAAATTTTTATAAATGAATTGCTGTGATTATAACTGCGCTTAATATCATAATTAATGTTAACAATACCGGTGTACAACGGGCTGTTACAATCCATATGTAAAAGTTGCAAAGGCTTTGTGGTAGAAACAATATTTTTTGATTTAAAAGTAGCCTTTACTTATTTTTCCATTTGACAAGCATCACAAACTTTATCTTTTTCAAATTTGAGCTTTGGTAATCCAATCACTAGGTATAAGGAAATCAATTTGCTTAATTGACCCATGCCAATGTGTGTTATTCTTCTATGCCATAACCAAGAGTCATCTTCCTTACTAATCAAACATTTATCGTCATTTGAAGGAATACCATCTAAGTCTATAATGTAAATGTTATCCACTCTATGACCAAGAAACTTAACTTGCCCATCAATTAGACTTTCAATTTTGCAAGAGGTTGAGTAAAAAATTACTCTATAATTTTTATCACATAATTGACTAATGCTAAGCAAGTTATGTCTAAGGCTTTCAACAAGTAAAATATTTTCTATAGACGGAAGAAGAGTGACCAACTTTTCTGATACCAAGTATCTTTCCTTTGTTGTTATCTCTATAGGAAACATGTCCATGCTCTTTCCTTGTGAATGATTGGAATTTAGTTACAGCTCTCGTCATATAATTTGAGCAACCACTATCTAAGTACCACTTGAAACTTTTAGCCTTCAAACAAACCTACATCACAAAGTCAAGATTTAATATTGGTACCCAAACCTTGTTGGGTCCTTGTTTTTTAGTTTTGGCTTAATTCCCTTACGAACCACCCTTTCTTCTGCCCAATAATACCATTCTTTCTAACTTTACATGTGGAAGCATTATGACCTTTTCCACCATAGTGAAAACATTTGATGAATGGGCTACTTGTCATGTAGGATGGAGAAATGAAAAAAAAATTATATGATTTTTCTTGTGTGCTTATGTCAAAGCCTAAACCGGATTTGTTGAACATGCATCTTTGTTTACCAAGCAACACATTTAAGATATCTCTACCACATGTGAATTTGCTTAGAATTTCATTCAAATCATCAATTTCATTGTTTAGATCTTTACATGATGTACATGATGACGAAGATGCATGATCATTTGAAGATAGTCATTTGATAGAACTTGTACTAGCATCAAGCAATTTGAGAGTTTCATTTTCATCTTTTAAATCTTTCACTTCCTTTTTTAAAGATGAAATTTATTTTTCTAAGGAGGTAATAGTTTTTCTTGATTCTCTAAGAGATTTAACATGTTCTAATGATTCATTATGCATTTCTTCAAACATTTCAGACAACTCATCATGTGGTGGAAATAATAGAGTAAGATGAATTTACCTCGATTTCAGATTCATTTTCATTCTAGTTTGCCATTGGACATATATGCTGAGTTCCTTTGCTTGTTTTCTCCGGTGGTCTCTCATCTTGCATAAAACATAGGTTTGCTTCTTCCTTGGAGCCATCATCGGAAGAACTAGATTTGTCATCCTAAGCAAGATAGTCCTTCTTGAAATTCTTTCTATTCTTGCCTTATTTCTTTTCATATTTGTCTTTCTTTTGAATATTCAAACAATCCGATTTATAATGACCGGTTTTTCCACATTCGTAGCAAGTGATGGTGAGCTGGGAGGATCCATCATCTTTAGATCTTCTTATAGGTGGAAACACGAGTCTTCTTAAAAAAATTTCCATACTTCTTCACGAAGAAACTCATCTCATCTTCATCAAGATCATTTTCGGAGTCTCAATTTTCTTTTTCCTCATCATTTTCTTTGCTTAGTGTTTAGGCTTTTAAGGCAATTCCCTTACTTTTCTTGATGGCTTGTTCCTTCATGGTTATTTTACTTAGCTCCATTTCATACTCTTGGAGTTTGCCAAACAAGGTTGCAAGATCCATGGTCTTCAAATCTTTTGCTTCTGTTATTGCCATCAACTTGGATTGCCATTCCCTATTATGCACACTTCTCATCACCTTAGAAATTAACTAAAGGTTAGTTAAAGATTTATCTAAAGCATTTAAATGAGTGACAAGGTGTGAGAATCTTTTTTGCTTACTTTGATTGCTTTCAGTTTCATGGATCTCAAACATTTCAAATTCTCTAGTGAGTGCATTTAATTTTGTAAATTTAACATCACTAGTTCCTTCATGGGTTAGTTGAAGAATATACCACATTTCCTTAGCATTCTTACAATTTGAAACACGAAAGTATTCATCTCAACCTAAGGCATTGACAATCAAGTTTTGAGCTTTAGCATTTTAATTTCCTCTCTTAACTTCATCTTCGGGGTAATCCTCTATATCCTTAGGAATATCTTCATTTTCTCATTTTTTATAGTAGGTGGTGTATACCCCTTTTGAACTATGTTCCATACTCTTAAATCATTAGATTGAAGAAATATTTTCATCCGACTCTTCCAATAAAAATAATTGACGCCATTGAAAAATGGAGGTCTAGTACTAGAAGATCCCTCAAGGGGCATGTCATGGTTCAAAGAAGCCATCCCTTCTCTTGAAGCGGTTAAGCTTTTTACACAAGAGTTCAAGCTCTGATACCACTTGTTGGACATGTGGCTTCAATACTCAAGAGGGGGTGAATTTAGTTTTACAAAATCTTTTCGCAAAGTGACTCCTTTGATATTTTAAAGAGTGTTTCTTCAAAAAAATGATTTAACAAGAAAAAATCTAAGTGTGAGAGTAAATGTGTGATAAATAAAGAAAACAAGCAAATAGATAGACGCAATCTATAAATGCGATTTCAATACTAAAGTAAGGAATTTAAGGTTAGAGAAATTCTAAACTAGACGTATCCTGGATCGGTCACCACCACCGTGACCTACATCCAGACTGAAGCCGCTCGATCAAACTTTTTTACTAGCTATCAAGCTTGAGGGTGCTTGACAAACCACTACAACTTTTCAAGACTTCAGGCTCTTGATGCCTTACAATTTTTCACTCTAAATTTTGTTAGGAATTGATAAACCCTTAGTTCATCAGGTTTTTAAGCATGAATTAGCTTAATTTGTGTGATTAAATGAATGGAAAAGAGGGTCAATGTCCTAGAAAGTCCTAAACACAAGTTCTGGAAGATGTATTGAAAATTTACATTTTTCTTGTAGGGAAATGAAGCTCAAGAAGAAAAAGAGAGAAGGAAGAAGATTCTGAAGAATGGGAGAATGCTAAGTGTTGAGCGCTAAAACGTCCAAGGAGAACATTTTAGCGCGCTGCTGCATATTGAGGCCTTAAATTGCTGGTGTCGAGTGCTAAAACGTCCAATGCAAGGGTTTTAGCGATCTGCTGTTGAAAAAGATTCTGGTCTTGAGCGCTAAAACGTCCAATGTAAGGGTTTTAACGCTCTGATGTGCAAGAAGGTTCTGGTCGTGAACGCTAAAACGTCCAAGTAGAATATTTTAGCGCTGAAGATAGTTAAAAGCAGTTGTGCATCCGTCAAAGTTGAGCGCTAAAACGTCCAACAGGGAACGTTTTAGCGCCTAAGTCAGTTTTTGGTTAATTTTAAGTTGTAATTTGAAAACTATAAAAGGCAAGGGGCCTTCACATTTGAACAGATCCTGTCAGATAAATTCAGATCTGACTTTTCATTTTCTCGGACTTTTCAAATTCTTTAGGACTTAGTTCTTGTATTAGTTTAGTATACTTATGTAATTGTGATTGAAGATTGAAGACTCAACATCATGACAATGGAGTTTGATCTTTCCTATTCTCTTGTTATTTCTTTTACTATGTCTGAGTAGAGTCCTTTGTAGTCTGATTTCAATGGAACTCAAGGATGATTTATGTATAGTTGATTGAATATTATGAGTTTCTTTAATGTGATGATATGAAGTTTCCTGTAGCAATTCTTTCCATCAAAAGAGTAGTGTAGAACAAGAATGTTTACATTATTTCTACAATTGGTAATTTCATCATCAGTGTTCTAGTATTCAAGGGATTGATGCTAGGACTCTGATGTAATCTTAAAAATCTTAGTGTTGAATGTATGTATTAAGAAGGGAATCACCAAGGGATTCGGGTTCTTGATTAATGTATCAATCAGGATAGTAAGGGATTACATTTTGATGATAAGAAAAAGGTTAATTAACATCACATGAAAGATAATTCATAATAGAATTGATTCTTACATAAATTCATGCTTGAGGGAAATTGATTTATGACTACTTGTTTTTAAAATTATAGTTCATATTCTATTATTTTGTCAAGTTCTAATACAATTCAAATTTCTAGTGACAATTATCAATGCAATCAATAGCTTTTTGTTTGATTCAACTTAAGTATATATGGTTAGTTGGTGTTTGAACACAAATCTTCGTGGGAACGATCTTTATTCATCATTTTATTACTTGTACGACTAGTACACTTGCTAAAGTTGTAACAAGTTTTTGGCGCCGTTGCCGGGGATTTGTTCTTCAACATTGACAGACACCATTAATATTTGAGATTTAATCTTTTACTTTCAGCAATTTATATTTTTGTGTGAAGTTTTGTTAATTCCAATTCTGGTGTATACGAGGTACTATTAATCCAACTCTTTTTTTTTATCCAGAATTAGAAAAAACAATTAGGAAGAACAGGAAGGCAGCAAGACAAAGAAAGCTACAAGAAATGGGTGAAGCCAGTGTGACAATTCAGGAAGAAGTCATGGCAGAAAATAATGTGCCACCACCACAGAGGACACTGGGAGATTACATGACTCCCACAGTCATTCCACCGATTGGGAGTGTTGTTCGACCAACTGTGGAGCCTAATAATTTTGAGTTGAAACCTGCACTAGTACAATTGGTGCAGAAGGAACAGTTTGTTGGTACCAGTGCAGAAGATCCATATTTTCACATTGAAAATTTCTTACTATTGAGCGATACGGTGAAGATCAATGGAGTGACCAGAGATGCCATCTTGTTAAGGTTGTTCACTCATTCACTGAAGGATGATGCAAGAAGATGGTTACAATCATTACCTCAAGGGAGTATCACAACTTGGGATGATCTTCAGACTAAGTTCTTAGCCCGGTTCTTTTCAGCATCTAAGAGGGCGAAGTTGAAGGATGAGATTACAGGGTTCAAACATAAAGAATCAGAGTCTATCTATGAAGCCTGGGAGAGGTTCAAGACACTTTTGAGGAAATATCCACAACATGGAATCAAAGTGTGGAATCAAGCAGCAATATTTCTCCAAGGGTTGACAACCAACACTAGGACATTGGTGAATGCCACAGCTGGTGGTTCACTAACAACCAAGACTCCTCAGGAAGCCCTTGACATCTTTGAATCTCTGGCATCTCAAGATTTTGACAATGCTACAGTTAGTGACAGAAGAACAGGAATTATAAAACTTGATAGTTATGATGCTCTGTTAGCCAAGAATGATCAGAAGATGCAAATGCAAAAACAACATCAACAATAGTTGGATGCTCTCACTAAGCAGCTATCTTCTCAAAAGGTTGCTTTTGTAGACACTAATTCTGTGTGAGCAATTTGTAGGAAGAGACATGTTACAGATGATTGTGATCATGGGGGATCTGTTGAACAGGCAGAAGTGAACGGGGTATGGTATGATCAAATGAACCATAACAACCAGGGGCGAAATGTATATGTTACACCATGGAAGAATAAGAATCAACACCCAGGGTTCAGTTACAGTTCTAATCATCAGTTGAATCCTCCATTGCATCCTCCTCCATCACATTCTTCACAACAAGGTGATACTTTTGCTTGGGAGAAAGCTTTTGCCCAGCTATCAAAGACCACTCAAGATTATATACAAGGGTCAAATTCTTTCAGGGAAGAAACTTCTGCATTCATGCAAGAGACCAAAACATCATTCAGGAACCAAGAAGCATCCATCCGGAATTTGGAGACCCAAATTGGTCAGTTGTCCAGGCAGATATCTGAGAGACCACAGGGAAAATTTCCTGGTGATACAATGGTTAATCCAAAGGAGCATTGTAAGTCCATTATTACAAGAAGCGGGCTTGTGCTTCAACCGGTTAACAAGAAAGTGGAAGAGAAGAAAGTGAGAGAAAAGAAAGATGAGGAAGAAGTTGTTGTTGAAGATGTTGTAGTTGAAAATGATGAAGTAGAAAAAGTTAAGGAAGATAAGAAAGAAGATGAGGTAGTTGTGGAAAACAATTCTTCACCCAAGAAGTTGATGAAGTGG